GAGGGATTTGGGGAGGGAATGGGGGGATTTGGGATGAGGGCAGGGAGGGATTGGAGGGATGTGGGGAGAGATGGGGAGATTTGGGGCGAGGGATGGATTTTGGGATGAGGGCAGGGAAGGATGTGGGGGAATTTGGGGAGGGATGAGGGGATTTGGGATAAGGGTAGGGAAGAGGGGCCGGGAAGGGCATCCCTGGGACCAGGAAAAGCATCTCCGGGACCAAACCAATCAGCCCCGGTCCCGGAAAATCATCCTTGGGACCGGGAATAACATCCCCAGTAACTGGGAAAGGGATCCCTAGGACTGGGAAAAGCATGTCCAGGACTGGGAAAAGCATCTCTAGAACTGGGAAAACCATCCCTGGGACTGGGAAAGGCATCTCTGGGACCAAATCGAGCAGCCCCGGTACCGGAAAAGCATCCCTGGGACTGGGAAAAACATCCCTGGTACTGGGAAAACATCCCTGGGACCTGGAAAAGGATTCCTGGGACTGGGAAAAGCATCTCCGGGACCAACTCGAGCATCCCCGGTACTGGAAAAACATCCCTGGGACCGGGATGAGGATCTCCAGGACTGGGAAAAGCATTTCCAGAACTGGAAAGAACATCCCTGGGACTGGGAAAAACATCTCCAGGAAAAACATTCCTGGGACTGGGAAAAGCATCTCTGGGACCAAATCGAGTAGCCCCGGTACCGGAAACGCATCCCTAGGACTGGGAAAATCATCCCCGGTACTGGGAAAGGGATCCCTAGGACTGGGAAAAGCATCTCTAGAACTGGGAAAACCATCCCCGGTACCGGGAAAAGGATCCCTGGGACTGGGAAAAGCATCTTCGGGACCAAATCGAGCAGCCCCGGTACCGGAAAAGCATCCCTAGGACTGGGAAAAACATCCCCAGTAACTGGAAAAATCATCCCTGGGACTGGGAAAAGCATCCCCGGTACTGGAAAAACATTCCTGGGACCGGGAAAATCATCCCTGGTACTGGAAAAACCATCCCTGGGACTGGGAAAAGGATCTCTGGGACCGGGAAAAGGATCTCCAGGACCAAACTGAGCAGCCCTGGTACCAGAAAAGCATCTCTGGGACAATCCCTAGGACTGGGAAAAGGATTCCTGGTACTGGGAAAAGCATCCCCGGTACTGGAAAAACCATCCCTGGGACTGGGAAAAGGATCTCTGGGACCGGGAAAAGCATCTCTGGGACCAAATCGAGCAGCCCCGGTACTGGAAAAGCATCCCTGGGACTGGGAAAACCATCCCTGGGACCGGGAAAAGGATCTCTGGGACCAGGAAAAGCATCTCCGGGACCGAACCAAGCATCCCCGGTACCGGAAAAGCATCCCTGGGACCGGGAAAAACATCCCTGGGACCGGGAAAAGCATCTCCGGGACCGAACCAAGCATCCCCGGTACCGGAAAAGCATCCCTGGGACCGGGAAAAACATCCCTGGGACCGGGAAAAGCATCTCCGGGACCGAACCAAGCATCCCCGGTACCGGAAAAGCATCCCTGGGACCGGGAAAAACATCCCTGGGACCGGGAAAAGCATCTCCGGGACCGAACCGAGCATCCCTGGTACTGGAAAAGCATCTCCGGGACCAGGAAAAGGATCTCCAGGACCAGGAAAACAGTCCCTGGGACTGGGAAAAGTATCTCTGGGACCAAATCGAGCAGCCCCGGTACTGGAAGAGCATCCCTGGAACCAGGAAAAACATCCCCGGTACTGGGAAAGGGATCCCTGGGACTGGAAAAATCACATCTCCAGAACTGGGAAAACATTCCTGGGACTGGGAAAAGCATCCCTGGTACCAAATTGAGTAGCCCTGGTACCAGAAAAGCATCTCTGGGACCAGGAAAAAAATTCCTGGGACCAGGAAAAACATCCCTGGGACTGGGAAAAGCATCTCCGGGACCGAACTGAGCAGCCCCGGTACCGGAAAAGGATCCCTAGGACCGGGAAAATCATCCCTGGGACCAGGAAAATCATCCCTGGGACCGGGAAAAGGATCCCTGGGACCGGGAAAAGCATCTCCGGGACAAAACCGAGCAGCCCCGGTACCGGAAAAGCATCCCTGGGACTGGGAAAAACATCCCTGGGACCGGGAGAAGCATCTCTGGGACCCGGAAAAGGATTCCTGGGACTGGGAAAAGCAAGTTGAGCATCCCCGGTACCGGAAAAACATCCCTGGGACCGGGAAAAGCATCTCCGGGACCGAACCGAGCATCCCTGGTACTGGAAAAGCATCTCTGGGACCAGGAAAAGGATCTCCAGGACCAGGAAAACAGTCCCTGGGACTGGGAAAAGTATCTCTGGGACCAAATCGAGCAGCCCCGGTACTGGAAGAGCATCCCTGGAACCAGGAAAAACATCCCCGGTACTGGGAAAGGGATCCCTGGGACTGGAAAAATCATCCCTGGGACCGGGAAAAGCATCTCCGGGACCAAACCGAGCAGCCCCGGTCCGGGAAAAGCATCCCTGGGACCGGGAGAAGCATCCCTGGAACCGGGAAAAACGTCCTCGGTACTGGGAAAACCATCCCTGGGACCGGGAAAAGCATCTCTGGGACCAAATCGAGCTGCTCCGGTACCGGAAAAGCATCTCTGGGACTGGGAAAAGGATTCCTGGGACTGGGAAAACCATCCCTGGGACCGGAAAAAGCATCCCTGGGACCGGGAGAAGCATCTCTGGGACCGAACCGAGCAGCCCTGGTCCCGGAAAAGCATCTCTGGGACCGGGAAAAACATCCCCAGTAACTGGGAAAGGGATCCCTGGGACTGGGAAGAACATCTCCAGAACTGGGAAAACATCCCTGGGACTGGGAAAAGCATCCCTGGTACCAAATTGAGTAGCCCTGGTACCAGAAAAGCATCTCTGGGACCAGGAAAAAAATTCCTGGGACCAGGAAAAACATCCCTGGGACTGGGAAAAACATCCCCGGTACTGGGAAAAGCATCTCCGGGACCAAACCGAGAAGCCCCGGTACCGGAAAATCATCCCTGGGACCGGGAAAAGCATCTCCAGGACCAGGAAAACAGTCCCTGGGACTGGGAAAAGCATCTCCGGGACCGAACCGAGCATCCCCGGTACCGGAAAAGCATCCCTGGGTCCGGGAAAAACATCCCCGGTACCGGGAAAAGCATCTCCGGGACCGGGAAAAGCATCCCCGGTACCCGCCCGGGACCGGGCGGAGCCTCCCCGGGGCCGCCCCCGCGCCTCCCCCGCTACCTGCCGGCTCCGACCTTCCTCCTCCTCTTCCTCCCGGCTGGAGCGGCCCTTTCCTGTGTCCTCCCACACCGACCCGGCCTGCAACAGGCACCGGGAACCGTGTGTGTGTGTGTGTGTGTGTGTGTGTGTGTGTCACCGGGGCTGCCCCCCCCCGGGTATGCTGGTGTCGTGGGGGACACGGACAGGTTAGGGACATGGCAGGTGGGCAGAGGCTTGTCGG